GTAAACATCATGGACGTCTTTTGATGGTCATGCTGAGGTATTTGTTTATGCTGTTGTATATATTTGTGTACACATAACGTTTAGAAAAGGAATTGACATTGATATATTGATCTTGCTTCAGCAGACTTGCCAAACTTATTTATGAATTTTATAATTATTCTGTAAACTCATCTGGATTCTTCTTATATGCAACTCAAGTTTCTGTGAAGCACAGTGTGAATAGAAGTGATGACAGAGGACTACCTTTTCTTATTTTTGAGCTCAGAGTGAAAGTTCTCAATATTTCACTTGTAAGCGTGACGTTTGCTGCAGACACTTTGAAGGTACTCTTTACCAGATTAAGAGCATTCCTTTCAATTCCCAGTTTTCTGAGTTTTTAATCACAAATGGATGCCGAATTTATGATGATTTTTCTGCGTATATTGAGATGAGCAGATGGTTTTTATCATTTGTTCATTTAATGTGAAAAAATACATAAGTAGATTTTCTGATATTAAATCTACCTTTCGTTCCTAAAATTAACCCTAGTTGGTTGTGATATATTATCCTTTTACTATATAACTGGGTTTAGTTTACGAGTGTCTTGTTGAGGATTTTTGTGTCTACAGTCATGAATTTGATATAATTTTCCTTTCTCGTAAGATAGGCTTTGATATGACAGTTGTGCTGGTCCATAGGTGAATAAGAAAGTGCCCCCCTTTCCTATTCTGTGGAATAGCGTGGGTTAGATAAGGTGCTATTTCTTCCGTAGCGTTTGTGGAATTCACCAGTGAAGCCATCTGGGCGGAGAGTTGTCATGTGGGAAGGTTTTCTCTTAAGGTTCAAGTTTTTAAAACAGACATATGACAATTCAGATTCTCTGTCTCTCCTATGTTAGTTATAAGTTGTATTTTTCAAGGAATCTGTTCATTTCACCTACATTTCTATATCTCTTATTATATTTTTCACTTATGTAAGAGCTATACTTATATCTCCTTTCTCATTCCTGGTATTGGTCATTTTTATTTTCCTTCTTTGTATCTTGATGAATCTTACTGTATAAAGCTTTATCAGTTTTATCAGTGTTTTCCAAGAACCAACTTTGGACTTTAATTTTCTCCCCTGTATGCTTATTTATTAATTTACTGACTTGTGCTCTTACCTTTATTGTTTCCTTCCTTCTGCGTTCTCTGGTTTCTATTTGGTATGCGTTTTCTAGCTTCTTAAGTTAGGTGTATGTTCAGCCTTCCTTTGTTTAAAATGCGTTTATTTATACCTACGCATTTCCCTCTCAGACCTGCTTTAGTTCCATCTTTTACATTTAAATATGTGTTTTTCATTATCATTGAGTTCTAATTTTTCTAAACTCTTTTTTTAAATTATTTTTTAACTCAGGCTACAGAAAACTATAGATTAATTTCTAAGCTGAATAGAAAATTAGTAACAAGTTGGATTGTGGCTTAATTCATGGTAATCTGGCTTAATTCATGGTAATCGGAGAGCATACCACATGAATTAAATCCTCTACAATTTGTTGAGACTTGATTTATGACTCAGAATGTGGTCTGTTTTAGTAAAAGTTTCATTTTCATTTGAAGACAATATAATTTCCACAGTTATTGGTTTGTATGCTACATGTCATTTACATAATTTTGTCGATCATGTTATTTAAATATTCTAAATTTTACTGTTTGTTTTAACTACTTGTTCTATCAGTTACTGACAGACATGTATTTAAGTTTCCAACTGTAATTGTGGACTTGTCTATTTCTTCTTTTATTTCTTTCACTGTTTGCTTTATATATTTTAAGGTTATGTTATTGGGGCATACCCATTTAATGTTTTATTTTCCTATTAAACTGTCCACGTTTAGTAATGTCCCTTGATTTTAAAAAAAATCTACTTTTATATTAATGTAGTTATATTAGCTTTCTTTTATTTGATATTTGCAAGATATATTTTCTGTGCTTTTACTTTGAACTTCCCTGTTTTATATTTAATTTGAGTGTTTTACAAGCTCCATTTATTTTTTTTTACAAGCTCCATTTAATTGAGATTTGCTTTTTATTTCCAGTCTATTTTTATTTTTACATACAGTATTTTACACTCACATTTAGACTAGTTACTGACAACTTGGAGTTTCAATCCATCTTCTATCTCTTTGCTTTCAATTGTCTCAGCTGCTTCATTGCTCCTGCACTCACTTCGTGTTTCTTTTTAAATCGTCAAGTATTTTTATTATTCCAATTTTCCCCTTTCAGATTGTTAGTTATATATTCTATTATTCTTCTTCTGGTTTTCACCCCATATTAACAACATGCATCCTTGTCTCATAGGTGTTAACCTCCAGTTCCTATTTTTACTGCTTCCCAGTCAACTCAAGACTTCACAGCATTTTACAAGTACCACAAGGCATGATTACGGTTGTTGTCTGGAAGTCAGTGTTTATTTACAGTTGCCTGTCTGTCTGTCCTGGTGCTCTTCATTCCTCCTTCAATTTTCATGTTTCCATCCAGGATCATTTTCCTCCTGCCTGAAGATCTCCTTTTAGTGTTTCCTTCGGCACAGGCCTCCCAGGAGTGAATTCTCATGATTTTTGATTGCCTGAGATCATCTTAATTTTGCCTTTTTTTTTTTTTTTTTTTTTTTTTTGCGATACACGGGCCTCTCACTGCTGTGGCCTCTCCCGTTGCGGAGCACAGGCTCCGGACGCGCAGGTTCAGCGGCCATGGCTCACGGGCCCAGCCGCTCCGCGGCCTGTGGGACCTTCCCGGACCAGGGCACAAACCCGCGTCCCCTGCATCGGCAGGCGGACTCCCGACTGCTGCGCCACCAGGGAAGCCCTGCCTTCATTTTTGAGGATATTCTTGATAGTATTGAATTTTTTGTTGGCAGTTGTTTTCTTTCCTCACATTAAAGATGTGCATCATTAGTTCTTTTGAAAAAGTCAGCTGCCAGTCTCACCATTATTCCACTGAAGGATGAGTCTTTCTCTGGGTACTTTGAAGACTTTTTTCTTTGTCTTTGGTTTTTAGCAGTTATACTATCATGGGCTTTAGTGTGGTTTTCTTTGTAATCCTCCTTCTTGGAGTTAGTGGAATTTCTTTAATCTGTTATTGTATTTTATCAATTTCAAAAATTCTTGGCTAGTATCTCTTCAAATATTGCTTCTACTTTATCCTCTCTCCTCTCCTTCTGAAGCTCCATTTTCAAGTATGTTTAACATTTTCATCATTTCCCATATATTTCCTATTTCTTTATATTTTACATTATTTTGTTTCTCTCTATTTTCGTCTAGACATATTCTACTGATCTATTTTCCAACTTATAATACTCTGATTTACAGTGTCTACTCTAATGTTAGACCCAGCTATTTAATTCTTTATTTCAGGGTTATTTTTTAAGTTTTCAATTTTCCATTTGATTTTTACAATTAATTCCATCCTCTAATAAGGTTCTCCATATCTTCACCAATTTTCTTGGCTATATTAATCAGAGTAATTTTACAGTCCATGTCTTAAAATGCCAGTGCCTGGATCTCCTTCTGTTCTCTGTTTATTTTTGTTTTTGTTTTTTCCTTTTTAACTGTATTTGATCACTTGGTACTGTTTATAGCATACTTATTAATTTATTGAAATTATATATAATTAAATTGTAGAGACTTTAGATGATCTCTTACTACAGAGAGGATTTAATTTTTCTAGCAAGATGGGCAGACCAGCCTGAGCCAGGCAGGGATTGAGTTGACTTGAGGCTGTATTTCAGGCTCTGTGAAGGCTGTTTTGTCATTATTCCTACGTCATAGCCTTTTAGGGGTTTCAGATGAAGGCCTGGGAATCTTTCTACTCATCCAACACATGAACACCTTAGGAAATGGAAAAAGGAAAGGAAAACCTCAGTAGATAACTGCGTGCTGAATTTTGGGCTCTCTGTGTTTTCCTTTTCTCCAGAATCATTGCTCCTGGAATCTGTTAACTTGAAAGCCCTTAACTTCCTTTGTTGTCCATTCCGTCCAGTGACGATGTTATAAGCTCTGGGCCCCTGTTCTCTAATTGGCTGCTGTGCCCTGAGACATAGGTTAACCAACAGCCCAGGAGACGAGAGGAGGTGGGTGCCCAAAGAGCCTCAGTGCCTCCCTCCTCACCAGCACCCTGTCCTTCGAGTCCTAGCTGCTTCCGCTGCTCTCCAAGTAGATAATTTTTTAAATCACATTGACCCCCTAGTGGGAGGGAAGTCAGATAAGCTTCCCTTCGTAGCCACAGGTGGAAGTCTATTTTAGTATACATTTTTTAATGTTCTTCAAAAATTGTAAACTTTACTTAACCCTAAAGAGTTAATGTTTAACAACGTTGGAAGTGCATCTGTGTGGAACAGCTTGTTTCTCAAAGACTCCAAACAATTAAAAGTCAGAGTTAAAGCAAATATCCAATTAAGTCTTCTCCAAAGCAGAATTTAAGTGTTGTAAAATAACTATAAACAAAATGTTCTGAGCATTTTTTAGAGAAGCAAAATATCACATAAAGTTAAGTTCAGAGACAGGTCCTTTGATGTGGGTCTTGCCGGAAATTTGCTGCAAAGATGGGTGGTCTGCACATCTGTGAAGTGGGGGCATGCCACTGCAGGCTCGACTGAGCACGGCTTTGCTTTATACTTTTATGCTGAACTCCTGTTTCTAGGACTCTGATCTAAGGCGCTAAGTCAGAAATAAGGGAAAAGGTTTATGCACAAAAATATTTATCATAATGCAAAGCTGTAAACATCTTAAATATACAATACGGAATAGTTAAATAAATGATTAACTTCCATAAAAAAAGAAGCCTTAAGATTAAAGCCACACAGGCAGCTATGAAAGTGTGCCCCAAATCAGTGTTTGATTATCTATTTCCTCTCCCTTCCCATCCCCCTCCAATTCCCCTCCAATTCCCTTCTGTCCCCATCCATGCCTCGCCCTCTCCCCCATCACCCTCTCCCCACCATTCTACTCCCCTCTCCCCTCCCACCACCGCCTCCCCCCTCCGCAGAAAGCTGCATTGCACCAGGAACTACATCCACCTGAACCTGTTCCTCTCCTTCATCCTGCGGGCCATCTCGGTGTTGGTCAAGGACGACGTTCTGTACTCCAGCTCAGGGACTCTGCACTGCCCTGACCAGCCGTCCTCCTGGGTAAGGCTGTCCCTGTGGGCGGGGTCCTCTCATGGGGGGCGGCTGCCTGTGTGAACTCCAGCCCCACCGACCTCCCTCCCCACCGCCCATCCCTTTACTCCATTCCCACTTGGCATCGGGAAGAAGTCCCAGAGCCGGTGGTCCCCGTCAGAGCGCGGGAGCGGGCCTGAGCTCGGAGCAGGCCCACGGTGGCCAGAGACACAAGGTGGGCACGTGGGCACTGCCCGGTGGGAGGTCACAGCCGGAGTGCTGACCTCAGGCAGAGCCGGCCTCCCAAGAGGCCGCTGCTCCAAAGCACCAGCGGCAGCTCGAGCCGGATGTTCCTGGCACGGGTGGGCACGCACGACGCTATTTTCTCCGCACATGTCCGGGATTCTGAGCAGTAGATACTTCCCCTGACTGCTGGGTGGAAATCACCTGCGTGGTGAGTGCGTCCCCCGCAGCTGGGAGCGCAGTGCGCCCGTGACCCACGGGCCCAGCTCTTTGCAAGAGGATGAATCACCTTAATTGTTAGTTTCTGCAGTGCAGGCTTGGCTTGTGGTGGACATTAGTGGGCCTTTAAGGCATAGTTGAGTTTAGTGCGTTTATATTGAGCTCCTCTGAGATCAAGTCCTTCTACCCAGTCTTCCGACACCCAATCGCACCCTCCACCTGGGTTCTACACGTCACCCTAGTCCTGGTCACAGCTCTTCCACACTAGCCGGAATGCTGTTCTCCACCCGCATCCCAAGCGGATGGATTCATGTGCTGGCACCGTTGCTCTGGACTGAGCAGATTTGAGTCAATGTCGTTTTCACATAGTAAAGCCTGTATCACACCGAAGAACTTCAGCTGCTTCTTAGGTCTGCAGGTGCAATAAATATCAATATACTCCTGGGATAATCTTGACCAGGAGGCATGTGGACTGAATATAATAAAGAAATTAGCAACAAGATCCTCCACCTGGCAAGTCCCAGCCGCAGGTGGAAGTGCGGCCCCTGGGCTCTCGTCCCTAGATCGAGCCTCCGCTGCACAGCTTGGGGTGCACCCGCAGGCCTGGAGCAGGGGTGCCTGGCTGTCCTCCCGCTGAGGAGCCTTTGGTCCCGTCTCTGTGTCTCAAAGCTCTGCTCGAAGCAGCGCTCCGTACTTAGGTCTTCATTAAAGGACGTAGTGACCCTGACGGACCCACAGACAGCAGGCCCTTGACCTGGAGCGGTGCTCTCAACTTTCTCCTGCTCTGTAGACGGAGGATCTGGCTGAGGGACGGGCAGCAACAGGGGCCTGGGTGTCCCTGCCCTGAGTCCCACCTGCCTAGGGGTAAGCTCGGAGGCCCTGAGCTCTGCAGTGAGGCTGAAGCATCTGAACAGGGATGCACCCGGCCCAAAGCTGAATGCTGACCAGCTGCTTGCTGTCCCGGGTGGATCGGGGGGAGGTGGAGAGCCAGAGACAAGGGCTGGAGGCTGGGCTGGGGGTCTGCACATTGCAGAGGGTCCTGGGCCCACTGAGCTGCCATGTAGGCCCACAGCCCGGGCCAGAATGGCAGAGGGGGCAGGAGAAGGGGAAGTGAGAAGAGCCCATCAACACACACAGGTGCACAAGTGCACACACATGCAGAACACATGCACACAGAGGTGCACAGGCACGCAGAAACACACAGGCATGCGTACGCTCACACAGAGACACAGGGGCACAGACCCAGGCACACACACACCCTTCAGACTCTGTCCCATCACGAGTTTGGCTCCGTCCCTGGAAAAGCCCTCAGGGGCTTTGCATGGTGCTGGGGGAGCCCATGTCCTCAAGTGTGGAGCAGCTGTGGACACAGGACGAGTGAAACTGCACACGTGGACATCACCATGGCCATCGCCTCTGCCGCTCACTGCGCACTGAGGGCTCCAGGCATGAGACCCACAGAGGCACCGAGGCCCATATCCCCAGCCCTGCAGCTGTCATCTTCACATGTTTAAACAAAATATCCTGTTGACTTGCTCTTAGCCAGCACCTACAGATGCTGTAAGTCTCCCCAGCACTCTAGGGAAATGCCATCTGGCCCCGTAGAGCCTGAGAGGACACGTATTTCCAGGTGTGACACCTGATTTTGCCTTTGACAACCCTCGTGGTAGGTGCTGTTTTCTCGTCCTTTTCAAGGAGTTGGGCCTCAAAGAAGCCAGTGTCTTTATTGGATCAAAATGTGGACTGGGAGACAGAACCCCTGCCTCTGTCCCCACCTAGGCCAGCCTGCACATGTGTGGGCGCCTCGTTCGCTGCACTTGTTGGTCTGGGTTTGATCTAAACCTGTGGAAACCGTGCTCCAGTCTAGAGAAAATGAGCGCCCAGAGGGCCACCTGAAGCCGACCGTCAGGACCCCCACGGACAGTGGAGATCGGCCCCCTGGACATCTGGCCGTGTGCAGTGACGGAGGCTCTGAGACAGGGGACGGGGCTGGCTGAGACCCTGCTGGGGTCTGTGCGGGGCGCTGTCCCGGCCGCATGGCCATCGGCCTCTCCACACCAAAGAAGACGAGGTCAGCCGACAGCCCGTCAACCCCCAAAACCTCCTGTCCTCAGAGTGTGTTGATGGTGGATGAGCAACAGGAAAGAAATGCAGACATGGCGTTTTAAACATTTTATCAAGAAAATGGAATTGGAATCATCTTAAACACGCTGTGTCCTCTTTCCTCCTCCAACAGGATATCCTGGAAATCCTCTGAGTCTAGCGGTGTCTCAGGGTCTGCTTTGAATCTACCGTGCAGGTCTGACGTAATCTGCGCGACCGTCCCACCAATACCAGGCACACCCTGTTTTTGTATCTTCTGTCCCCACAAGCGTCAGTGTACGTGTATCTCCGTGCACCAGTGCTCTCACCTCGGTCAGGTGGGTCTGGAGAGAGACTGGAGGGACCAAAGGGCACATGTGTTTACATTGCAACAGATAAGCTTCCAGAGGCAGAGATGCCACAGGTGCTACGGGTGCAGGACGTGCCCTCCTGCGCGGCCAGCAGGGCGCACCACAGGATCCCTCCACCCGTGGGTGTGGAGCTCTTCCCTCCTCGACACCCAGCACGCGCCTCTGTCACATCCCAACGAGGTCTTGGGTCGCTTCCCCTGTCTCCACAGCAGTGTTGTCACGTGCGTCTTTCCACTTACGGCGGCCCAGCCCCGATGTCCAGTGGGCCGCCTCCACATGCAGACCCCCTCCCTGCCCTCAGCATCAGTAAACCGTAACCACCTTAGAAAGAGACGGAACCACACTCCACTTAGGCAAGAGAGACCTGGTGTGAGGTAAGAGGCTGGAGCGTCCTGGAGAGGATGGAGCCGCTGTGAGTCAAAGCACCTCATGACCCCGGGGAGCCAGCTTGAGAGGCTGCCGTGCATTGCCTGCAACTCTGTCCACCCCATACACGTGTATGAGTGTGTCCACATATATGGAAGTACATCCACCCATCCATCCACATACACATATTAGGGGAGGCGGCTGCAAAGATATAGAAGAAGAATAGAAGTAAAAGTACTGTTCTTTTTTTCAGCTCACTTATATAAGCTTAGTGATTTAAAGCCTCAATTTCATGTTTGCTCATGACGTGGAAATACCTGATATGTTTACTTATATGAAGGTCTGAGAGATTAAAAATGCATTTACTTTATGTAATACATAATTTTTCCCTTTCAAAACTCCTGGGGAAATAATTTATTTGGTGGGTTTCTCTTGTTTATTCCTTTATTTTTCCATCTCTTGTTAAGAGTGCACAGTGAGGAAGAACAGAGGAGAAAAAGTGGAAGTGAGTGGAGGGTAAGGATGCAGCGAGGAGAGGGGGATGTAGGGAGGAGAGGGGGATGCAGGGAGGAGAGGGGATGCAGGGAGGAGAGGGGATGCAGGGAGGAGAGGAGGATGCAGGAGGAGAGGGGGATGCAGGGTGGATGAGGATGCAGGGAGGAGACGGGGATGCAGGGAGGAGAGGGGGATGCAGGAGGAGAGGGGGATGCAGGGAGGAGGGGGGATGCAGGGAGGAGGGGGGTCAGGAGGAAGGAGAGGGGGGTCAGGAGGAAGGAGAGGGAGGTCAGCCAAGCGTGCCAGGCCCCACATGGTCACTCTCAAAGTTACATGTCACCCTCAGGGACACTGTGTGCATCTGCCTGGGCCCCATGCTACCCTCCAGCGAGTTCCAGGGCCTCACCTGAACAGGCTCACAGCTCCAGGCGGCACCTCTGTGTTGGGTGTCCACGTGCCTCGTGCAGCATGGGCTCGCGTTGGGACCAGGAGCCGGTTGCCTGCCCCGAAAGTCCTCATCCAAACGCAGTGTGCTCTCTCACTCTGTCTGGCATCCAGGTGGGCTGCAAGCTGAGCCTGGTCTTCTTCCAGTACTGCATCATGGCCAACTTCTACTGGCTCCTGGTGGAGGGGCTGTACCTCCACACCCTCCTGGTGGCCATCTTCTCCCCCAGCCGGCACTTTGTGGCCTATCTCCTGATTGGATGGGGTAAGGACTCCCCCCGACAGTCCACTGCCACCCCCAGACCCCCCAGGTTCCTGATTGCTGTCCTCTCTGACCTATAAATGCAGGTGCTTTCAGCTCAGAAAAATGCTGTGCCGCCCCTGTAGGAAGAGCTTTTCTAGAGCCAACAGCTTAGTATTTCTGGGAGCCAGGACTTGATTTAAAACTGCTCTGACTCTCATTCCTGGGGCAAACCCTGATGGTGGGCAAGTCAGAAGGAAGAGGCCTGGGAGGAGAAGAAGCAGGGAGACCATCCATCACGAGGTCCCACTAACGTGCCCATCAGCAGGGCTGTGTGTCAGCTGCGGGACCCCCACCTTCACAGCGAGGGACTCCCCTTCAGGTCTTTGCCAAGTCTGAACACAGCCTCCCCAGCACGTTGACACCGATACCCAGAAACACAGAGATGTGTTTCAGGACCGTGAAGCCTTCAGACACATACTCAGTTATCGTCACTGCTTAGTAAGCCATGAGCATAAGCCTGTATGTATTTATGAAGAGTTTCCACTTGATCTTTTCATCGGAAGGCCCTTGTCCTTGACCATCAGGCTAATGAAAGCTCCCACGTGTGCCCCTGCTGGGCTGGTCCAAGTAACCAGCACGGGGTTGTGGTCACCAGGTGTCTTTCTGCAGGCATCCCCACCGTCTGCACAGGTGCGTGGACTGCGGCCAGGCTTTCACTAGAAGACACAGGGTGAGTGCCACGCCTGTAAAGAGAGATCAAGCAGCACTGAGGTCCTGGCATCACTGGTCTTGGGAAACCAGAGAGAAGCTTCGTATCTGGTCAAAGGCAGCCTTTGGACACGGATGGGGAGGACGTTGAACTGCATGGGGAGGAACACGGGTTGGAGTGCTTGGAGAAGAGCCAAGGGACAGGTGGGGCTGAGCTGGGCCTGGCAGCGGAGCTGAGGTTGGGGTCAACCAGGCAGAGACGGAGCAGCCAGCCCAGCGAGGAGGCCGGGTTGAGAGGCCAGCTGGGGCGCAGCTCTCTGAGGTAGCGCGGTTGGACCAGGGCCCAGAGCACTTCTGCTTCGTGTGCACAGTGAGCCAGACTGTGGCCCAGACCCAAGCACCAAGAGCTCCCACCACCGGCGCTGTGCCTCATGCAGGACCCAGGGTCTACCAGTTGTCCACTACCAGTAACAAACCACCCAAAGCTGGGAGTTCACATAGTCCCGGTTGATTTGGTGTGTTTCTGTCCCTGGAACTTGGGGCGGTTCTCCTGGCCTCAGCCTGGCTCACTCACACGCCACAGGCACCTGCAGGGGCAGCCAGGGCCATGGGTCTAAGCAGCGTACGCTGGGTTCCAAGGACTCCACATCCTGCTGTCAACCAGCTAGGACCCAGGACGAGGGTGGGTCTCTGCCCCTGCTGGGAAGGGGTGTGGGTAACAGAGTGAGCTGGAGGCATTTTACAAGCCGCCCACCCCAGCTTCCTGCTGGAGAGAGCGCGTGGCAGTCAGGAGGGACCACCTAAGGAGCCGCGTGAGTGAGAGGGTTCATGGTCGGGGGCGCTTTGTTTCGCAAGCCCCCGGGGAAAGGGTGAGTCTGCAGTGTGCTTATCCTCCTGTGCTTGGTTTGTAGATGGAATTGGTGGTAACGTGATTTTCCTTCTCTTTTTTCAACAGTTGCTGGGATACCAATGACCACAGTGTTCCCTGGTGGGTTATACGAACACCAATTTTACTTTCTATTATAGTAAGTCATTTCTGTATTGAAACTTGAGTTGCCTGCCGGGTTGCACACTTGGGCAGAGAGCGAGCCCACAGTCTGGTAGTAACTATAAAGGGCCCGTTCTACTAGGTCTTCTGAGACAAGTACCCTGAGGCTGAGCTCTTGCATGGTGGGCTTGGCCCACCTTCAGGATGAATTCTCAGTGAAGCGGAGGGCGAGAAAGAGACAGTCCTCCAGGGGAAACTCGGGGTGGGGTGGGGGTCAGAGTCAGGTCCCCCAGGTGTGCAGCCTTAGAGCAGAACTGGATTCCCACCTGCGGATTTCACGTCTCAAAATTAATTTTCTCAACTCAGCTGCCGCGCCCTGGGGTCGGAATGTATGTGATGCAGCAGAGAGACACTGTCTGGCTCTGACTCAGGGGGGTGGGGCAGGGAAGAGCAGAACTAGGGGGCAGGGTCCTGGTGCTTCTGAAACAGCGGTGCCTGGAGCCCCGTTTAGGGCGGGGCTGAGCCACACACATCCCGGCCACACCACCTCCCTTGCAGGGGGACTTCACACACAAACGTGTCGTCTCTTTTTCGTGCAGGTCAATTTCATCCTTTTTGTTAGTATTATACGAATTTTACTGCAGAAGTTGACATCCCCATATGTCGGCGGCAATGACCAGTCACAGTACAAGTGAGTATTTGTTTAGATCCAGCTCTGAGCCACCCTCACCAACCTCAGGCAGCCTGGAAACTTTGAGTATATGTGTGGAGAGCAGAAAAACTGGGGTGCAAGGACCCTGCAAATGACCCCAGCTTTTCTCCTTTAGTTGCAGGAGTGTGCTCTTGGCCACTTTACAGGGACCCCCGGAGATGGACTGTCTTGTCCAAAGGCCAGCGTTGCCATGGCAATTTTTCAAGCCGTGTTCCTCTCCTTCATTCCAGCGTGGATGTCCTCTAGATAGCAGCTTATTGAAGTGTTCTGCCTGCTCTCCTGTTTTGTAATCTGACTTTTCTCTCCTTGGCCACACGTTGTTTGTATTTTATATTTAGTTCTTTCTTCCGCATCAGACCACAGGGTCCAGGAGACACCTCATGTCGCACCTTGTACTTAATAATAACTCAAGTGATGTTGTTGCCTGGATGATAACATGAACATGGCTGTCATCATCTCCCTCATGGGGAAGAGCAGTTAAGTAAATCACTCACCATCATCCAGCTAATTAACGAGGGTCTGAGAACTCTGTAAAGGAACTTGAGGGTCATGTAAATTTCTATCAAGAATTTATAAAGAAAAGATAAAGCCCACAACTCGAGTATAAAATAAAGCTAGTTTAGTGTGGAGTGGTTGGTCCAGCTGATAGGAGCCTTGGATGCAGGCAGGTTGGGGTTGGAATTGCAGCTGCAGAAGCTGCGTGACCCTGGGTGGGTTACCTGACTGCCCCTGCAGGGTGGGCCCCCCCTCAGCTGTCTCCTTCCCTCCCCTCCTTTAGACAGCAGGGTGGACCTGGGGAGGCAGGTGGCAGCCCCTGTGGTCAGCAGCCCAGTGCTGGGTTATGTACCAGCTGGAGGCTTGGGAGAGGTAACTGCACTGCTCTGCCTCGGTTTCCTCACCTGTGAAGTGGAAATAATAATAGTACCTGTCACAAGCTTATAAGGACTGATAGGGTTAATATTCAAAAGACGTTTAGTGGCTGGCACCAGTAAAGTGTTGCGATAGAGTTTGGTAAACATATACATGCAACTGTGCCCTGAGGTGTGACAGTCTCTGCCCAGCCCACATTAGAGGTCAGGCCTAGAGATAGGGTTCCACGTCAGACCACAAAGGATAAAGTGGTTTCAGCCAAACCTTCCAAGTAGCATTTTTACTGCTCAGGTGAGAAGCCGGGCTGTTTCCTGGACTCACCCCATGCCTGCAGCTCAGGCTGCCCTTCAAACTGAACTTTCAGTTTCTGCACGTCTTATTCAGGGCCACGCTGACCTTCCCTTTGGGCTCTTTGGGAGTGTTCCTAAGTGGATCTTAGAGATGGATGCTTTTATTTTGGAAACAAAATAAAGCGGGGATGATAGAATCTGTTCTTCTTCCAGGATAACAAAAAGGCAGAGCACATCTTTTCTGTGTATCTGTCTCGTAACAATAGTGGCAGATCTCCAGGCACAGGGCCCCAGGGGTCCAGCTTCTAAATCCCTTTTCTAGAGACTAGCACAACAGCAAATTCCAGATGGATCAATAGTGAGAATCCAGGCAGATTCTCTCTAACATTTAACTAAAGGGCAGCTCCCTGCAGAATCCCAGCCTTCACTCACTGGGCTGGCAGAGACCCGAGGTAGTGAAGGCAGCAAGTGCACCGTTGGTGTTGCAAAGTCAAATGTTCAAAGCTGCACGTGGCGGCAGCTGGGTGGTCAGTGAGGCCTTCCTTGCCCACCAAGGCCCAGGGCATGCTCACACCTGGTGCAGAGCGGCTGGGATTCAGAGTTTGTGCAGATTGCCCAGTACAGAGGAAATCTTGTTGTAAGTGCCACAGTGCCTCAAAAATACGTAAAGCAAAGGGTGACTTTTTTCCAAGTGTGGGCTGGGGTCCACCAAGCAGAGGAGATGCGGGAGGAACACGGAGGTGCCTCCCGCCTCAGTTCCCACAGCTCAGAGTTGCCAGGATGAGGCAGGTTGTTGGAGCGGCTGCTGGTTGCTGGGGTCACCCAGGGGCCTGGACATGCACACGTACCACCTGGGGGCCCAGGCCCCTGCATTCCTGACCAGCCCCCCAGTGATCCCAAAGCTCCTGATCCTTAGAACATGCTGGGCTTGCTACACCAAATGTGGCCAGGTTGAGTCACCTGGGAAGATGCTGGGCCACCTGCAGAGACCTGATTTAATTGGATGAGGGGCAGCCTGGACTTGAAGAGGTTGAAAAGCCCCCCAGATGATTCTCATGTGCAGCCGTGAGAGTCAGAAGTGGTTTATAGAAGTGGTCCTCAAAGTGGGGTTCCAGGCAGCAGCCTCAGCATCTCTGGGCACCTGATAGAAGAATTCTCAGGTCTGCGTTTTAACATGACCTCCAGGTCGTTCTGGTGCAGGTGGGGCCTGAGAGCCCTGACTTAAAGAATGTGACCTGTACCTGCT